ACCCAGAAATCAGTGCTAAATCTCATGATACATCCCCAACCCATATCTTCATTTTGATACATTTTGAATTTTCTTTCTATGTAGTGTAAGATCAGGGTCCAGCATAGTTCTACATAATTTTTTTTTTTTTTTTTTCCGTAATCCCAGAATTTATTTATTTATTTTTTTTTTTATTTGACAAGTATAATTTATTTTTTTTTTCTTTTTTTTTTTTTTAATTATTTTTTTTTATTAGTGAAAAACCATGAGGTACAGTTATAGGCTTACAAATTTTGTGCTTGGGTTTCAGTTATACAATGATCAAGTCCCCATACCTCCACCAGTGCCCGTCATCCATCCCCATGGGTCCCAGCATCCCCCCCCTCATCCCCCCCCCCCCCCCCCGTCCCATCCTGCCTCTGTGGCAGGGTATTCCCCCTTGTTCTCTCTCTCTTCTTTTGGGTACTGTGTTTTGCAAGAGAGGCTTTGAGTGGCAATCATGTTTGGTCTATCGACTACTTAGTTCTACATAATTTTTATGTATGATCCAGTTCTTCAATAATTCCTTTGGTTGAAAAGACTTTTCTCCCCATTAACTGTTCTACTATTCTTGGTGTCCTTATGAAAAATTACTCAATTCCCTACATTCATGTTCATTTCTGAAAAACACATGCTTATGATGGCCTAAATCTTTGTCTTTGTTCCAGTACCACATTTTGGGCGGGCACGGGTGCATAGGTGCACTGGGGATTGATTCCGGTGTCTCACACATGGCAGATATGAAATGCCACCACTAAACTACGTTCCAAGTCTGTATCATTGGATTACTGGAACTTTGAAAAAAGTTCTAAAATAAAATTTAAAAATTCTAAAAAGTTCTGAAGTATAATAATGTGAAACTTCAAATAGTTCATTTATAAGAATGGCTCGACTATTTTAATTTTTTGTACGTAGCTATCCAGTTATCTCCAAACCACTCATTGAAGAGACTTTTCTTTACTGTATGGTCTTCGCTCCTTTGTCAGAAGTTAACTGTCCCTATAGTGTGGGTTTATTTCTGTAATATCTATTCTATTACACTTGGTGTCTGTTTTTGCTCCATTATGATACTGTTAAGTTACTATTGTGTAGGAAGCATGATACCTCAAGTTTTCTTCCTTTCTGTCAGGATTGCTCTATTTATAATCTTTTGTGGAAATGTAACTGACTTTTGCATGTTGTCTTTTATTAATCTTGAAAATACTTCATGATTTTAAAATTAGATGGAAATATTTTATCTCTATAACACAGGACTATTAATTATATTATGGCCAATATGTGAAAAATGACCACTGATTCCTGAATACAAATATATTGTTATATATAAGTTCCAATTACTATTAAATTTTTCTGTTTTGTATTTTTTTGTGGAACCCAAACATTTGAAACTTTAATTAACAAAGCAGTCAAGAATCTTTTGTGAATTTATGATAACATTAATGGATTATAGTTTTATTTCTAAATGTATAATTTTGGGTTGGTTTGTATAGTATTGATACAATGATTCTCACAACTATTTAAAATGAAACTAAAAACCTAAAATATGTACTTATTTATGAAATTTTATAAGGCTAAAAAAATAAACTTTAAATTTCTGGCTCAAGAGAATTTGGTTAGTTCAGTTGACCCAGTTTGTTTACCTCTTCAGTTAAGTAATACACATAGTAAAAATTTTAAAAATAGAATATTTAATATCTGGAAAAATTAATGGAAAAAGGCCTTTAAACAGTTTCAGCTAAATATACCAATATGTTAACAATGATATTATCAAATTCTGATATTCAGATAAACATTATACCTTGTATATATTAATTAAGAAATACAAGGGTACTGTCTATGACCATAGTTTATAAAAAAATTGAGAAAACCATTTTATAGATACTGAAAAGACTTTTTGTATATTTATTCAAGAATAAAAACATTTAATGAACTAGAATGTGAGTGTCTTTTTAATATATTAAAATGTGTTGAAAATTAACAACCACTAGTATAAAGTTAGAAAAATACTTCCCTTTGCTGACATTATCCATTACAACTCTGGAAGTTCTAATTAATGCACAACAATACTAAAATAGATCACTGTATCACTCTATCACTGTCATCCCTTTGTTCATTGATTTCCTTGACTAAGTGCCAGTAACATCTCTATTCGTCCCTGGCCTGAGATTTTAGCAGCCTCTCCTTACTCGTCTTTCCCAATGATTAGAGGTTCTTTCAGGGTCAGGGGAATGAGATCTATTTTAGTTACTATTTTTTGACATATCGAATATGCCATGTGGAGTTTGCCAGGCTCTGCCCGAGTGAAATAGATACCTAGTACTATTACTAATGATTATGCTTAAATAGAAATGGTAGCCCCTTAGCTAGTGCCAGTGATAATTTTGTTGAGCTGGAATCAAAAGTTAATCAATTGAAAAGGAAGTAGAAATGTTAAGTAATAAGTAACTTATTTGATAAAATAATATAAATTTATTTTCTACATTTATTAATAATAAGTAGAAAAAGAAATAATTCAATCGAAATAGCTTCTCTTCCCCATTTTCTCACTGAGTATTTTACAAATATAAATATTTTTGTACTTCTACTTTGTTGTGGAGCTAGCTAGCTAGCTAGCTAGCAAAATTTTGTCTGGGATAAACATGACAATGCCTTACTAATTGTAAATTTTAAGTGGTTTTACTCATTGACAAGGAGAAATCTCCCTGATCCCATATATACTATTAAGCTAGTTAAAGATTTCGCTGGAGCGATAGCACAGCGGTAGGGCGTTCGCCTTACAAGCGGCCAACATGGCCGATGCGAGTTCGATTCCTCCGCCCCGCTCGGAGAGCCCGGCAAGCTACCGAGAGTATTCGATATGCCAGACACAGTAACAAGAAAGTCTCCAATGGAGACGTTACTGGGCCCGCTCGAGCAAATCGACGATCAACGGGAGGGCCTTATTATTATTATTTAACCAAGATATTTGGCTCTTCAAACTGAAAACATCTTTTAAAAATCATGTTGCAATATTGAGAAATAATTATATAAACACAAAGTTTAAAAATAAAATGTCTGTAGATCTCAATTAGTTAGGTTTCTTTTATTGTACATATATGAATAAAGAACTTCTATTTCATATGTAGATCCTAAAAGTGGCACAGAGAGGCATTTACCACTGTATACATATTACATGATCTTCAAGAGACAGAGCAGAAATGGAACTTGTCCTCTAGATGCAAGATAGAAATATTTCTGATATTCAGGAAAGCTGGATGCAAGAAAAACTGACACAGTTTAGTGCTCTAAAGGGAACCCCTCTGGTTTTTATAACTATTCAAATAAGCTGAAGCTTTACATTGTATTTGAATGAAAAGACATGGTAATTGAAGGGGTGGAGAAACTCAAATAATGAGTGTATGAATTAGATCTGAGGTTATAGAGACTTGGCTTACAGAAAAAAATTTTTTTTGCCTCTTCTGCAGTCCTCATAGGCTTTTTCTTTACAAGATAAAGGAAGTATGACATTAAAAAATTCATTTTACACCTGTCACTTTTGGTCCCAAGAAGATCGTTAACGGAGTGACAGGGATATTGTAGTACAATATGAGTAACAGTAGCAGTGACAACCACAGTAACTGTCATGATATCTTAATTTTACATCATACCTTTCTATGCAAAATGGACTTCTAGGAACTCACATATTTAATTATATTTTCACTCACATTCTCTTTTGGACTGGACGAAATCAAATGTCTACTTTTTATAGATGGTTAGTGAAAAAAGAAAAAAAATGTCTAGAAGTCTGACTTTACCTGAGTCAGGTTCCACTGGTGCCTTCTTTCAGGTTACATCATATTTACAAAATAATGATAATTGCTAGTGTCCTTTTCATCCCAGATTTCTTATAATTTAGCACTGTAGCACTGTCTTCACATTGTTCATCGATTTGCTAGAGCGGGCACCAGTAACGTCTCCATTGTGAGACTTGTTACTGTTTTTGGCATATCGAATACACCATGGAGAGCTTGCCAGGCTCTGCCGTGTGGGCGTGATAATCTCGGTAGCTTGCCGGCCTCTCTGAGAGGGACGGAGGAATCGAACCCAGCTTGGCTGTATGCAAGGCAAATGCCCTATCCACTGTGCTATCGCTTCTTTTATTATAAAATGTGCTGTTAAGAAAGGGAGACTGGTGCAGCAAAAGATGACTTGTCTACAAATTTTTTTTTGTCAATTTTTGAAAAACAGTGTAGAAAAGTGAGGTAGCAAGTCGTATCTTTGTATCTTAGCAGTTTTATACAATGTAAATGCCACTGTCTGGGTCACAAGTGTCACATTCAGAGTTCCTAATTTAAATATTAGGGGATAGGCTCATGATATTATTAATTTGTTTTTATTCTTATTTAAGTGTTTTGTTTGGGGGGTTTATCCAGTGGTGAACAAGAGCTATTTTTGATTCTGTGCTTAAGGATCAACCTTGCAGTGCTCAGTGGACCATATGCGCTGCTCGGAATTTAAGCCAGTGTCACAGTAGCCAATAACAAGCAAGGGAATGTCTTATCTCATGTACTATCTCTTTGGTTCTTTTATTATTTTTAAATTAGAACATTATTTTGTTGCACTTTTACAATAGAGAACCCTTGACATTTTATCTTTAGGGTTGCTCAGTTATTTTATTCCAGTATTTAAAAGCATTGGTTTGGTAACATTTAGCTTAATTATTAAATTAACTACTGTTTTCTTTTATATCCCAAGTGCACAATTTTTATACCATCTCAATGTACTTATGTGTTACATCCCCACCAGTGTAAAAAGTATGAATATTTTACCTATTCTACCAGAAGAGTAGTATACAGCATAACGAAGAAAGGCAATACCATTATTCCTCCTCTTTAAACCACAATCAATAAAACATATAAAACATGAAATTGACTCCTTTGTTTATGATTACAGGATGCCAGAAGACCCGTGTGTATGTATGTATTTAAATATAGAAAGACTAGATGGATGGAACTGAAGCCGGAAAAAGTGTCAAATACGGGAGTCCCAGTCAGAATTATCCACAGACTATAAATAGGGAAGCCAGATACAGTTTTGATGTGTATTTCATTCTTGTAGGGAATCCCGTGATAGAAGAAGAAACATTTATTGTTCTGGCTGAAATCAGTGGTTAGTCCAGGGAACAGTGCTCAGGACTACTGCCAGTCTTCCCTACTTTTGTGCTAAAGTCTGTTTTAAGCAGTATCCCTGGCCTACCACATAAACATGCAGTCCTGGGGTAGGAAACAATGACAAAGGCTGTGTTCATACAACAAGGCCCAGTTCATGTTCACAAGGATAAGCGGTAGCAAAGTGAATAATTTCTGGCCACCAATTCCTGAGATTCATAATTGTAAATACTAGGACCCCAATTTCCTTCCTATTATCTCTCATCCCCACCGAGGGCTCTGTATAAGAAAAACCAAACCCCAAATAAAGTCACAGTACAACCATACGTCCACCCCATATAAAGAAAGAAAGACCTATTTACTACTAAAGAGGAATATATCAACAAATAATATGGAAAATCATTGTAACATAAAATTGCAAAAAGAAAACCCAACTTGATGTCCCAAAAGACAGATGATTCAAAATAGTATTATGAAGAAGTTCAATAAACTACGAGAAATATAGGCAACTTAATGGATTTAGAAAGTAAATTGAAGAGCGGAAGAAATAGACAAGAAAAGAGAGCAAGTGTGTTGAAAAAAAATGGAGATTCTGATATGAAGTATTCAGTAAATGAAATAGATTGCTAGAGAAAGCAGAGCTAATATAGCTCTGTGGAGGAAAAGAGTAGTGAGAATGAACATAGAAATATAAAAACAATTATAATGGAAGAGCAGAGGGAAAATGTACTCATGACTACTACCAGAATTAATTAATACAGAAGTATAAGGACAAAGAATATCCAAAGGTATTTCTTCAGAATGTAGAGGAGGGGACATAGTTCTAGGTACCAAGATGACTTGCCTATTTTCATAGTTCATGGTCACAGTTTATGTCAAGATGCAAGTTCTTTTATCTATATCTTTTGTTGACATATTGACATAGCTCTTCTTTGCTTAATCTTCTGTAATTAATAAAGGATATTTAGGTAAATTTTCTTATCTGATCCTGAAAAGATTCCTATTGAGCTAAATATTGATTCTCAGAGATAAGGAAAATAAAGGTTGTGAACATTCTTGCATGCCTGAGACCACAACGAAGTAAATTAAAAATATTCAAATTCAAATGTAATGTTTTTTTCTTCACTATATCTCAGTTGCTGTGAATTTTGTTACAAGTAGGGGAGAAATAGAGGTGGTCCCGAGGTGCTCTCTTTAACATGCCAGCCCTGCATGCAAGATTTAGCATGACAGAGTGGTGAACATGGCATCAGGAGAAAATTCTTTCCTTCTGGGTTCCTTAAATCAAAATGTTAAAATTATCTAAGATGGATTTAAAAAAAAACAAATTTAATTATGTTTATGGGCTGGAGCGATAGCACAACGGGTAGGGCGTTTTTGTCTTGCACGCAGCCAACACAGAAAACCCGAGTTTGATTCCTCTGCTCCTCTAGGAGAGCCCCACAAGCTACCAAGAGTATCTCGCCCGCACGGCAAAGCCTGGCAAGCTCCCCGTGCCGTATTCGATATGCCAAACACAGTAACCACAAACTCTCACAATGGAGACGTTACTGGGCCCGCACGAGCAAATCGATGAACAACGGGAGGACAGTGACAGTGACAATTATGTTTATAAAATAGCCCTACCAAAAACTTTCTAGTCTACCCTCAACCAGGCACATGTGGTTTATGTGTAATCCAAAACTAGGTTGAAGGAGTTAGGGACCTGGGACTTCAAGGGGAGGAAGACAAAATTGTCTTCCTCCCCTTGAAGTCCCAGGTCCCTAACTCCTTGAATAATATAGGAAGATGAAAATAATAATATAGGAAGATGAAAAAAGTGAATGTTTGGACCACATGTTTGCCTTGCCATGCTAAGATAAAGGACACAGAAACGACTTTGAGCAAATATATCTTGTTTATTTCTGTGCCTACATCTCCAGTTTACCATACTTTACTCATATTCTTTGTAGTTAACTGCTGGTAGCTTGCCTCCTGAAATAAGCCCTCCAGTTAATTCTTTTAGGCAGTTAAGAGAAAGGCATAGGAAGGCCTTCCTTAATTTGCTGGGTTATTAATTCCTTCTGCTCAGAACCATCCAAATGCCAAAATGACATGTTTGGGAGATAATCTGTTCCTTCTCTAGTCAGGAAAGACAGTCAATCTCAAAATATCTGGTTATTTAGCTCTGCCTGACAATTTCTTTACCATAGACTTTCCAATAACTTCTGAGAAAGTGACTGGGTTCGAAAATTGAGATCAATGGTTAGTAAACCATAACTCCCTGGATCAAATTCAGCTTCTTTCTATAAATTGAAAAAAATATGTAAACACATCAACACCCATTTATTCATGTAATTCCTTTTTCTATGCTGTAACAGCAGAGTTGAATACTTATGACAGAGACCAGAGACCAGGTGCCCTGCAAAACCCTTTGTTGAAATTACTCCTATTTTAGAGTCTCCCTTCATATATAGATATGTATTCTTAAAATTTTACTTCCCCTTAGTTTATTTGCCTATGAGGAATAAACATTTTTCACAAAAGATTTTTTTAAAGTACATCTTTTGCTAATGGGTCTCATTTGTTTTAGCCTATAATGAGTTGGCTGTCATTGCCAGGGTCTCTTGAGAAGCCTTTTCTCATTCCAGGAATTTAAAAAAAAGTGTTTTCTAGGTCTGTATCACATTTCCACAAAAATAGGTTCAATTAAAGCACCTTTTCCCTTTAATTTTTCCCATTCTGTATTGTCATTCAGCTTTGAGTTGAGCCAACAAGATGGGTTAAGAGTTGCCCCCTGGAGACCTTCTGCAAATGCTATTCCATGAAGTAGTGGTTTCCCAATGTGTCTCTTACAAAACTAAACAATACAAATAATGCTTCTATTGTACCTTTCCTGTGGTAGGTCTCAAGGGGTAGAGACTATCATCACATAACACAACAAAGCTGCTATAGAAATGGACAGGCAGAGGAGATAGTCTGAAGGCTTCGGAAGCTCCACAGAAACTTCCTCTGAACTGACAGCTAAAAGCTGCAAGATTTTCCCTTGGTTATTTATTTTATGAGATATAAAGATTTCTTATTCCAATGGGTAGTTATATGACATTTTTATTATTATCTACATGTAAATTGTCAAGAGGATTACAAGAAATAATTTTTTAATTCTTCAAATATTGCAACTTGACATTATTTTTTAAACTGAGGTTCTTATATAATTGCCACTGATAACATTTGGTTATTTTCTTCCATTGTCTGGAGAAATTTTTTTCAAAAATATAACATGGATAAAATGCATATTAGTTAAATAATTGTGGTGTTATCGTCATTAAAATTTATTATGATGCTGGTTCCCAAATTGCTTAGATTATCTCATTTTAAATAGGTCGTTTCTCAATTTTTATTTAGGAATAAAATTATATTTACTTAATCAAATCACACCTTATCCTCCCTATGTTTATTAAATTCAGTGTTTCAACACTGAGATCACATATGCCTCATACTTTGATTCTTAGTATTCCTCCCAGAATTTGGAAGACATCATTTTGGGCAGTATATCACAACTTTTCCTGACCATGGCCCTTTTCCTCTCTTATTTCCTTCCTGTGACTCTCTGTTTTACTAGTTGTATCTCTAGTCTCATGTTGTAGCAACTTCAATTATATAATTTCCACCTGTACCCCCTTGAAATATCCTGAAAGTCCAGAGGGGGTCATTTGGCTTCTGGCTGAGAAACACTTATCTAGAGAAAAGCCAGCCTGCAAGAAATTCTTTCTATAGGAGTTATTGCAAAACCATGCAGAAAAAAATTTTAATTTATTAATATTTCTTCATTCAACCTCTTGGCTATTAGTGTTGTCATAACACATTCTGTGGCTTAGAAAACACAAAGTACCTAGCTAACTCAGCTTTTTATGAGTCAAGGTAATATTCACATTAGGCCTGGAAAATAGCTAAGTATTGATTGTTAGATCCAAAAAATGAACAAAATGTTCTCAGGAGGACCTTTCAGCATTGTAGAAGTTTGCGACCATTTCTTTGCATCTGGTACAGATGATAAAGGAGAATGATTTCTATTGGAAAAAAGATCTAGGCTTGGCAAGAATTTTCAGAAGCAATTATAATATTAAGTGGAAAAAAATTCTTATGTTTGTAATGGGTTCCATCCAGGGGGCAACCAGAAGGAAATTTCCCCTTAAACACAAAGTCCTACAACGGAATGTTCAATCCATGTCTGATCTCTGTCCTGTTGATCCCCAGGCCAATCAATCACAGGGAAACAAAGCTTTCAGACAGCAGTTCCTTGGTTTGTTGCCCTCTCAAATATATTCTTTGGTTGACTGACATCACACCAGACAGAGAAAATCCCACACTTGAGTGGTGCTCTCTCTGTCAGGGATTCAGAAAAGGAAAGTATGCTCGGACAGATGTCTGATAACCATTGCAGAGGAAGAAGTCTCTTAGGAATTGTTAGATAAGCTTCTTGTTTCAGAAAACTTTATTATGCATTTATTCTACAGCCCCAGGATGGGAGGTGCTACCCAAAGAATGCAATCAGACCTCATGACTTGTATAGTCTGAGAAATTCATGTAACTTTCGCAGGCTGAGCAGAAGATATTAAGACTTGCTGTATAGAGCTCTTCTAACATTAAAACAACAATTTAAAGTCCTTTGGATAATTTTACATAAATCTAATGCATGAGTTCTTTTTTTATTGAGAAGTAATATCAGAAATTAAACCTTATAAGTATCCAAAAGCAATTACAAAATAAGGACATTATAGTGGTAATATTGTAAATGGGAACCCACTTAAATGTCAAAGCACTTGCCATAAAAGTGGCAATAATGATGCTAAACACAATACATGGAATTTTCAAATATTAATTCCCCCATTATACATGATGAGGTTCAAACAGCCATCACCAAACTGTTTGTGGGAAAAATAATATCATCACCATAATCTGCTGGTGAAACACAAATGGTTCTGTCATTCTCTCCTATGGGAACTTACTAATGAATTAGAA